TTTTTTTTTTTTTTTTTTTTTTTTTTTTTTTTTATTTTTGCCTTAACTATTTATTATAAGAGAGAAAATTTGAATCTATCGCACTATTAGTTGTGATTCATTTAAAATATGTGTTTTATATATAAGAAGATAAAAATATAATTTATTTTGTTCATAAAAGAAATACTTTTTATTTTGATTTAAGTGGTTAAACATATATAATATCATTTTAAAATTTGAAAATATATATATAAGTCAAGATACAAACACATTTTTCTTGTTACCAAAGGAGAATATGCCATTTTCATTTTTATAGGTTATAAATTTTTTTTATAAAAAATATGAACTATATTAAAAAGAGAGATTACATATCATAATCCTTAATATCAAAAGAAGTTAGAACTTATAACTATGTCATTAACCGTTGGCAATTGAATAAAGTCAACTTCGCATCCATAATGTGTTCCTTTTCTACAATATGCAAAACCCAATGAAAATTATCAAGAGAGCCTAAGTAAAAACTTGATGAAATATTTGAAAGAATATAGGTAAAGACTCTTACAAAAGACAAAAACAAACATTATTCGATAGAGAAAAGCCCTCAATAAGAGGGAGATAATCTCATTTTATTTAGAGACAAAACCAACGAAAAGCTAAGAGTGAGGTTTTTTTCTTTAAAACTAAAACTTAATATCTTTCTTTAGTTTTTATTAAAGCATTCTTGAGTTCTAACTTTAGACTTCTCTTAGTTTTTACAAAGGATTTAAGATATGACTTATATCTTTTTTTCATTCTTGCAACTTTATTCTTATAATTTTTTTTTTTAATTTTTTGAGACTTGAGGTAGAGTTTATACCTAAATTCCTTTATGTATAGCTTTGCTAATTCTTTTATTCATCCTTCCTAGTTATTGAGAAGAGATGCGGCAATAGTTAGGTAGAAAAAAGAAAACAAAAGTAAGGAGAAATAAGAAGGCGAAAGAGGTGGAGAAGGGGAAGAGGGAGGGCTAGGGTTTGTGTGTAGGATGACTACAAAACTCAACTTCTAATTTTTGTTTAGAGTCTCATATAGGTAATGTTCTTAATTGCTCAAATCACCTCTTTATTCAAGAAAAAACTCTACTACTTAACGGTACCTTTACAAGAGTATCCAGCAATGCTAAATATCTCCCCATAAAAAATTTGCCAAATGATAAAATATCGGAGGGAAAAGTAATAGTTTATGCGCCGATTCTGATTAAAGCCAGCTCAAATTATACTTTAATATACTACAAGCAAATTAAGGGCAAATTTTCCCTTACTATAAATTGATGGCATAAAGCGGATTTAGGGAACCCAAAACCCTAACAATAGATAGATATAAAATATAAATCCAGATTTTCAAAGACTAACCCACAGGTTTACCGACTTATTACGTCCACAAGCAAGACGTTATTTATTTAAGTACTCTCCTCGTAATTGCTTCTGTTCCAGATATTTTCCTCTCCTCTTCTTTTCTCCCTCCCTCCTTCTCCCCCGCTCCCTCTGGTACGATCTCGTTGTCTACTAAGGTGAAGCAGATCTCATTCTTTTGGCCTTATTTTTTCCGATTTCATTTTTCCTCCGATTGTTGTTAAGATCGTCAGAATGCCGATTTTCGTTGTTTACATGGCTGCGCAGCTTCTTTCTCGCATTCGCGGCGAACAATGATCGTATTGTTATTTTGAGGCTCATTCTAGCTCTTAATTTGTTTTATTTTCAATTAATTTCTCAAACAAGCATCGAGTATCGACGTCTTAGTTTCGATGATGAAAGCTGTAGCAGTTTGGTTGCCGAGAAACTGCTAGAAAACGAAGCCAACCGAGAATTATCTATTTACTGATCTTTCAGTATATTTTGTCAGGTTTTCTCGGCAGCCAAACGGAGAAATCGAGTGTTCGAGAGTGCATATGATGTGGAGAAATTTACTAGCAAATTCGTTTTTAAAAAATTTTCTTCTTGTTTATTTTGTCGCTCTTTGTTTATTTTTGTTTGCATTGTGGAATATTTTGCAGATGATGTTTAGAGGAGAGGATTTGGATTCAAAGCAGATTTCCAGCCGGCTTTCAGGTCAGAATAATGATTTCTCCTCTTTTCACCTTTTTGATTTTCCTTTTGCCGTTTTTCCTACAGTGCTTACCGCTTACTTTTAGCTTTTTGTTTGGCTTTTGAAATTATCATTTTAGCTTCTATCCAAACTGCCTTACGGAATGGTCTCCTTCCTTTTTCTTTTAAATTGAGATGCTTAGTATCTGCCACGAGACTTTCGCTTTAGTTCTTTCAGAGACTTTCACATGTATAGATTCATGTTCTATCTGATTTTGTATTGTTATAATATTTTGTCATTTATTGATGAAGAATGATCAGTTTCAAAGATGATTAGTTTCCGTACTGTCAATCCATGTTTCTTTATATTAACTTCTCATTGAAAAACACATAAAATATTGCAGTAATCAATACAATATTTCTGTGTGTAAGCTAATTTGTGAATCTCTAAGATTAATAGCCATAGCTAGTGGTCATTACTTATTTGCTCCAAATGGCTTTTAGTTTAGAGCTTCCAACAAGCAGCAATACATTTTATATGTTTATGAAGTTTAAGCATTGAAAGATGTACGCCTATTTGTTGTGGCTGCATTTTCCATATTTGTGCTTTCTATTCCCACCCCTTATGGTTTAATCGGAATCGCTTATCATTTTGATTTGTTCTCTTCACTGTGAATAAATTTTTCTGAATTCCGTGTCTTGATTTGGTCTTGTCATCTTTGATTTTAGAATTTAGCATGCTTTACATGACACCTCGAGAGGATAAGATAGCCGAAACTATTTAACGTCATAATAATTATGAATTTCTTAACCATTTGGGTTATACATACAATCCATCATACTTGTCTGCATATGAATTTGCTTTAATTGTACTGTACATAAAGCAAAAGCATAACCTAGGTTTGTTTTCCTCTTCTTTTTACTTTCTTTGCAGTACAATGTGAGTAATATAATTAGTTACTTAAGGTTAGCTTAGAGTAACGACTATTGCTTGGTGAAATCATAAAAGTAAGACAAAATTAAGAAACTTTCTTGAGAGGCTAGGAATACATTTTAAGATTGATAATTTTCTTTTACATGAGGGAAAAAGGAGTGCATATTCCTTAAGAAGAGGGGTAATAGATATTTCGAGCTTCTTTAGTAAATTTTTTAATTTTTTAATTTATTATTATTTTTTTATGGTTTAACGAAGTAATAACCATTACTTCCAACCAAATATGTCTTTTATGTTTGAACTTAAGCTTAATATGGACAATTGGTTGAGTTAAGCATGACTTCAAGCTTTAAAGAATGGATGAAGTTTAGAGAGTATTTAAGGCAATTATGAAAAAGGGTGTTTTATCATCCGCATATTGGATAGAAGTTATTTGTAAGCAATTTAATACACAAGTTGTATAATTATTCCTGGAGTTATGAGTTTATTTCTGATACCTTTTGTGTTGGCTCTTTCCAGCGTGAAATCAATAATTGAACGATATAACAAGCGAAAGAGGAACATTAACTGGGAACCCACCTCTGAAGTCAAGGTATTCCTCAAAACTCAATTCTTAATATTCTTCCACTTACTACCTAGGCGTACTGAATATTTTTATTTGGGTGTCTACTTCTCTAGATAATTAATCTTTTGGTAGCTAGAGTGTTTCTAAGCTTTAAAAACAATGTTGGAAAAGTAATATGAAAATATTTGCAACTTTTCTTTGTTTCTTTCTCTTTGGTTTGGATGGTTTAGAGTGTCCTGGTGCTTTGGCTAGATTTCATCCACCTCAAAGCTAATCCCTCCTGGGGTGCTCTTAAGAGTGCACCCAGTGCACCCCCCAATGTTGATTGGGTGATTTATTGCTTTCCTTGGTGCTAGTATTATCTTAGTTTGCGAGTGGTTAGGTAGTTAGTAATGATCTTGTATGAAATTATCTTTTTATTGCGTATTTGTTGGAGGTAACCTAGTTTATGGAAAACAAAGCAGTTAGTAGTTCAAGATCTAGTGGGGAGTTTGAATTAGAGCTATGATCTAGGATTATGTGACGTGATGTAGATTTGATGAAGTACTGAATAAATGAAACTGAGGTTTGACAATCAAGCTGTGCTTCATATTGCATCCAACCCAGTGTTACATGGATGTACTAAACACATTGAATTTGATTGTCACTTTGTAAGGAGGAAACTTCAAGAAGGCCTTATTGCTTTTACATGTCAACATGGGTGAATAACTTGATGATAACTGTTTACAAAATCTCTGGTTGGGATTAGGGTGAATATCTTTTGTAACAAGTTAGACATGCTTAACATCTATGCTCTAGCTCAAGGGAGAGTTTTAGAGACATCATTCAAATCCACTTCAAAGGGATTTGGATCCAAATGGCAGTAGGTTGGGGAATGTCAAGCTATCATGTTGGGTTCAAGAAGATTTGAATCCTTGAAGGCTGTGGTGACTTTAATTCCAAATTAGGGTTTTACTAAATTGTTATTTTATCATATCAAACATAAATAGATTGGCTGGCACACCAAACATAGTGTGATCATTTATTCTACCCAAATTAGGTTTTTACTAAATTGTTATTTTATCATATTAACATAAATAGATTGGCTGGCACACCAAACATGTTGTGATCACTTATTCTAACCTCCTCCTCTTTTTCTCAGTATTGATATGATTTTTTGTAAAGAGCTCTGTAATTGTTTTGGAGGATTTGCTATGTGACCTATTGCAACCCTCCTTTCTCCGGGCTTGGGACTGGCTGTGTACACATATATTGGCATTTAACATGACACAGGCGAAGTTGTTGCATCATATGCCTCTAATTTCCTCATACTGCACCTATTTCATTCTTATTATTTATTAACCATTGATTGTAAAGCACTTTGAAACTTAAAATCATGACCTTAATTACCTTTACCAGACTCATTAGTTCATTAAAGGTGTGATTTATTATGACCTTTTCAGGTATTGTTGAAAAGTACATTCATATGAAAATAAAATGATATTTTCAAGAACTTGTAGATTGAACAACTTGAATAATGTTAGTATCCAAATCTTTTGTAAGTGTATTTCTTGTTGAAAACAATCCTTACTTTTGGACATTTGGCAATTAGTCATCCTCTATCATGTTTTTTCTACCCATGTATTCTTTACTTTCACCTGCAACTTCTGAATTTGAAGTTTTGCATTTTCAGCTGTTTTTTGCTACTTTGCTTCATTTAACAAGAGTATATCATCTTTTGTTTGGCAAACTTTACTTTTTGTAATGTCTAGTATTCAATTAGCAAAGTTTGTTTTGTCTCTAATTCTTGAGGATGCTTATATCTGGGTGCATGTGTGTGTAGTTTCTGCCAGTTATTATTATTATTTTTTTCTCCTTACCATCTTTAGCCAGTGTTTATTAGGGTGTATTTGATTTGCAAAGTTTGTTTGGTCTCTAATTCTCGAGGATGCTTATGTCTAGGTGCATTATTACAGTTTCTGCCAGTATTGATTAAGGTGTTTGGAATTACATTTGGGGGCCAACATCCCGATAAGTGGCTGTCTGTCTGGTATGTTATTGTGAGGTATGGCTCTAGGTCTTTTTCATTTTGCAGTATTCATTTTTAAACTGATCATATTGTGTAGTCTTGATTCTTTTGAATGGATAATAACTCAAATTTCAGTCCTTTTTTCTTGTCATGTAATAATTTATATTTTTTTAAAAGATTTTTGACCTGTAATTAGTTAAGCAGTCTCCTTTGTACTTTCTTAGATGAGTTGCACTCTTACCATTTTTTCTGCACATTCTTCTCGTTTGCTTTTGCATTTTGCATTATTCATTTTTAAATTGATATTAAATTCGTATCATGTAGTTTTGAATAGATGATAACTCAGTTTTGTTGTTCTTTAGTTGTCATGTAATATAATTTTTTTTCAAAAAAAAAAAAAATCTGTAATTAGTTAAGCAGCCTTTGTATATGAAGAAATCTATATTTGTCTTTGAATAGTTGAATGGGTTTCCCTGAACTGTGCAGCCATCATTGTTGAAATGCAGATAGTGAGCTGAACCGTACTTCAGTAACACATACATGAGGTAACTGATGGAGGTACAAGTACTCCAAGATTGTTTCTACCAACAATAATCATGAGAAAAGATTGTTTCTACCAAGAAAAATCATGAAAAAAGAAGGTAGGCATTACATTGTGAGTGTTCCCACCTGGATTTTCCATTGAAACTTGAGTTGTAGCCAATTGTGATGGAGTTCAGGCTGTTTTCTTGAAAACGCTTCTGTAGTTAATCTTTCTCTGTACGTTGCTCTTTTTTTAGCTTGATTCCTTCTTTTTATAATGTTTTATTTGTAAACTACCCTGTTCTTGCTATTTTATTCCACTATATGACAGTAAACTTAGTTCTTTTGTCTTTAAACTGCATTTCATTTAGAATGGTGCAATTCTTGTATTTTAGGAACTGCTGAATAATGAACCGGAAATGTTGTACAATTTCAGTATGAATTTTTCCCTTTATTATACGGTTATACCTAATTTATCTTTAGGAAACTAGTTATTAATTGATTGTTACATACACGCTAAAGTTTCTTTAGGTTAATAATTTCAAACCAATGTCTTTTTGCTGAATGATTAGTGGTTCACATACCACCCTTTTACTCTTAGAAGCATAACCTGCAAACATGAACCATTTGTTGATAGAAAGCAATATCCAATCCCATTTTGATGCAGCTGTTTGCTAATGCAGTTGGAGTCTGCTGCAATTATCAGAAACAAGTTTGGGATCAAGATTGTGGTAAAATGACTGGTATTCACAAAAATATTTCACCACATAGGAGAAACTGTACCCCAGATTTGTGGCTCTTGTTGGGGCTTCATAGTTTTGTTGCTGTGGCTGGCTTAGCTGGAGATGAACAGGTACATGCGAGTCCTCCCCAATGCCTAGATCTTTTGTCATCATTGAAACTCTATTGGCACCGTTTACATTCCTTGTTCCATATGCCTGGGATGTGAAACTTTTCTCTTGAGGATGGTTTTAAAAAAGCTCATATTTTCACAAAAGCTTAATGGTTGAATCATTTTAGTCATTTAAAAGATAGTTAAAGTATCTTTTAGACATGAAAACTGATACCTTCTCATATAATTCGATGTTTTCTTGACGAATTAGGTTTACCTTCTTATAGAGTTCCACATTTTCTTGATGAATGAGGTTTCCCTGAATTTTTTTTTTAAGAAAAAAAATGCAATGTAGCTGCTTGAGTTGATAAAGTACAAATAGGAAGCACCATTACAAATCTTTCCAGCGTTCACCTTTTTGTTCAATTCTTGTATTTCATCCATCAAGATTTGGTCCTGCAGAAGTGAAAGGGATAACCATTAGCATTCACAAGCTAATAGTTTGTCAGCATTTTTAATTTAATGGATTAGGTGAGGACAATAATTTCATACCTTTTTCATGCGGACACCACGGAGACTCATTTCTAACTGGTTCTCAATATTCTGTAAATCTTTAACATTCAATCCGGAAAGCTCTTGCCCCATCATTTGCCTGTTTTTGGTTTACAGAAGCATAGTTTAAGCCTGTAGGTTGGTATCTTGGACATTCTAAAAGCTGCCAGGAGATTTCTTCTTCTGAAAATGCATTTTACATGCTTGGGCATTTCTTATTTTTAATGTATTCTAAGCTTTTCAGCAATCTAGGTAATCTTTCATTTATCAGGATAGACTTCGAACAACACTCATCATAGTCATCCTATTTTAAAGTCTTCTTGATTTTCCTGTTGAGATATGAGAAATAAGACCTAACACCTATTCTAGGCAGCTGTTTCAGAATACTGGTGGTTAGTGATCTAGCTGCCATTAGCTGGATAAAATTCTTAGCAAACTCTTGTAAATAGATATCCAGGGCTGATATGTATCAGCTAGCCTGTAGCCCCAAATGAGCCAACTAAACACAGTCTAGTGTAAGAATGCTCAGGATGGAACTTGGTCTGGAAAACTACTTATAAAGACAGACTGAAAACCAATGTCTAAAGTTACCTCCCATGTACTTTTTCATTGAAGAGTATGATATGCCCTTTTCCAACATTATTCTTTAATGGATGATTGGTGCAATAAGTTTTTGTTTCTATAAAAATAAATCATACCGATGACTTTCTTGCAAGTTTTGCAGTTGTTGCCTGAGTATTGCTGCCTCCCTTTGCCAGTACTAGCAAATAAAATACATAATATGATTAGTTTTCTGGTACTCAGCTTTTGTTGATGAATATGTCTAGACAAAAACAGTAGACATATTGAAATAAACCAACCTTTTTGAAATGTGTTAGTCTGAATGAAAAGCTGCTGACATGGATAATTTCATAATGAAATTTAACTTATATCAAACTTGGATTCTAGCAAATTAATCATGCAGACAAAGATATGCAATAGATGGGAAGCAAAATAGCTACTTATCCTTTTCTTCTTCTTCTTCATTATATATATATATATATATATCAAAGAAAGAAAAGAAAAAAAAGCGCCAACTACTTTTTTAAACCGGTAATTTTTAGCTCCATAGGCATAGCTGGAAAACATGTGAGGTGCAATAAATAAACTCTTAACTTGTGCCCCTAGGGTATAGGTTAGAAAATTCCTATTATTATTAATGGTTTGAGTTCTCTTTTAACTTACAATGTCTAACATTAACAGCGTTGATTGATTGAATCCTGGATGAGACCACAATTGCATGAACTTGACTTCATTTGGCAGTCCACTTTAATCCATTATTTTCTTGGATCTTAAAGCGGCCCTATCTTGCTTTTTTTTAGTGGAAAATAAATATTTTAAGGAGGAAAAGGTTATCTAAACTGTTCGGTTTTGGGATCAAGGGCAAGAAAACTTGATTGGAGTGCTCTATGTGGCTACTGTCTAATGAGAAGACTTTACAAGCTCTTAGCGCTATAAATATACTGACAATATATATTTGGTTATTTCTAAATCTGTAAATCCCTATGGTCTTATATTTCTAGTGTAAATTCTGGATTCTGACCTAGCAATAAACTACCAGTCTAATTTTACAAGAATGACACTTTTACTTTGCCAGTTAATATAGATGTATAGTTGTGCATGTAAATTGCGGAACCAGAATCCTATGAGTTCTGTCTCTCTATTTTTCTTATTTTAATCTTACAAATTATTTACATACAAGATCTTCTGATTAACCACTCTCAAAAAACTCTGCCCTGTCTATTTCTGCAGTTTTAATCGAGGGGAGTAATGCAGCCAAGGTTGCAGATGCTAATTTTTCATATTGTATTTCCAGCATTACTTAGAGCCTAGGAATGCTCCAAGCATCCAAACCAAAAATGATACGTGAAATTTATATTGATGGTAAATGGAAGAAAATTGAGCAGATTATTGGCAAATACCTTGACTTCAGAGGTTGGGTTCCCCAATTGATGTTCCTCTTTCGTTTTGTTATATCGGTCAATTACTGACTTCATGCTGGCAAGGGAAGATTTACATAGTATCAGATGATTCAGATATAAACTCATAAATTCAGGAATCAATGTACGAGGTATATCCAGCAAGTAATAATATTTTCTGTATACTTAACAGCGTTCTTTCTACCTTACATCATTCCTACTTAATAAATTGTGATCATTTAATTTCAGGTAGTTTCTATTCAGTCCATAAATCTGCAGCTGGACAGAATAAGTGAAGTGCAACCTGAAAGTAAGTCTTTCCAAGTTCTCATCTGTTGGGCCTCGCCTAACCAAAATTTTGTGGAAAATGGTGTTTGAGTCCAGTTTCTACAAAGTGTTCAGTGGGTCCTAAGCATGTAGAATAGTTATGGGGAATTTTAGAAGTCGTTAAAATCTAATTAAATCCAGAAGTCTACTTGCTTAAGCTCTTTTCTTCATGCTCTACATGTGACCTCTAAATGCTGAGATCTACCTCGAGAACACCAAGAAATACCTTTCAAAAAAAATCCTATATGACCTAACTTCAACTTCTACATAGGGCAGCTGTTACAGAAACAATCTTGTGAAGGTGTTTTGTTCTAATCCATTTTTACATGGATTTTGTGCATCTTTTAAGAAATTCCTAGTTTAGCAATAACACTGTCATCTCAAATCCACTTTTCCTTTCTCCATGAAACTCGTATCTGAGTTGTGCACAATAAATTATCTTCTTAATTTATCACCTTTAACATTGCCCAAAACTAAATTAGGATTGTTTCCTTGTAAGCCAATTACACTAACAGGGCTTCTCCATTCTACTAGAATCTAGACTAGAGTTCAATTCATCTCTTGCTTTAAGAAAAATTACATCCTGGAAGTTCTTACCCTTGGGAAAGAAAGAACTTAAGCTCAGCAAATTCATGAATCCAAGCTATTCATTTGTGGTTATTGGATATGTTGTATTACCTTGGTGAAAACTTATTGGTTAAGTAAACATCAGCTACAATTTGCTATCAATTATTACAAGCTATGAGACAGAATGTGCCATGGTAGAAACTAGAGTAGTTCTTGATTTTTTACCTTTCCCACACTAATTAACCAGTTTTGCTTCATTTGGTTTCCCTAAACTCAAACAAAGCCAGACCACTTACGACTTTTATCTATTAAGGCAGGTTGGTTGTGTGGGGATCACAGTTAATAGAGAGACACTTTTCCTAATGTCAAAAAAATCGGGCATTAATGAAAATTCTCATCTTTATCTTCTCACCATTTTATTAATCTTTTACTCTCATATGCATTATCTTGCTATCAAACATCTTTGCACAATTAATCAGTACTAATTTTAGTTTTTATTGCAGAGAATGTGTCAGGTGACATTCTATTACTTTCTGCAGGTATTGCATTGCTGACATTCTTATTCCCATTAAAACTTGGATTAAAACGTTGACAACTTTACTTGACTATTTATTTGCAGCACACTGCAAATTATACTCATTGCGACTAAATATCTCTCTCTCTCTCTACACACACATTTCCTTCTTTTTTCTTTTTTCTTCTTCTTTTTTTTTTTTCTTTAAATGGTTCCAAATATGAATTGGTTTTTACATATACCATATGCCAAATAGATCTTATTTGAATTATTATCAATCTACTTCAAAATCTTGATTCTATAATCAAGATCAAAGTTTTGAGGGATTATCAATAGAATTTCATCAAGTATAATGAAAGAGGAAAAGGAAAACTTGGATTCTATACTCAACAGGCTCTGAAGTATCTCTAAAGTATCTCGCTTGCTCCTGGAGCCTTCCCTGAAGATCTCCTACTATTTTCTCCTAGAAAATTGCTAGCTATCTTCCCCTTTTTCAATCCAATCCCTCCTTTCATCTTCTACCATCATCACCCATCCTCTTTAATTTTTTCACATCTTGTTATTTTCCCACTAACCAATGCATCCTTTTGTCTCAGAATCTATTCGCATGCTTCGTGATTTCATACTTTTTTCTCCTCTTATGTCAAATATGAACTTCTTAAACTAAAGAACGAAAGAAGTTTTCTTTTTAATAAACGTGTAGTTTCTTATCTTTAAAATATGAACATTATGTTTCCAACTGCAAGGTATGTGATGTCAATCCTAGAGTCTCATCCGCTACAGGTCCTCTAGGTCTAAGGAATTGATCTGAAACCTGATATGACCCAAATTAAAATCACCTAGAGTTGACTAGGTGGGTCAACGTGGTTTGAATCATCCCGAAGTGAGTCAATTAAAATTTATTATTTTTTTTAATTTTAAATTTTTATTTATTTCTTTTTTTTTTTTTTATTTTTAAATATAAAGTAAAATTAAAAATGTAAAATGGTTATTATTCATTAGATTGTTAGATTTAACATTGGTTTAATAGATGTTTTTACCAAATAATTAATTAATATTAGATTTTTTAATAAGGAAAATGGAGAATATTTAAAAATTTTAATTTTTAAAATATTGAATCCACCCAATTCAATTTGAGATCCATGTGGAAAGATTATGAGTTTGTCTCTTTAACTCAAAATGACTTAATTTGATAAACTCAAAATCCAAAACCCACTCAATCCTACAGGTCTAATTCCACATCTGAGATTCTAATGTAGGGTTTGTATGGGTTCAGAAACTCTAAGCTCAATAGGTGGTTTTTGAGGTGTGGTTCTAAAGTTTGGATTAATTGGCATCAAAGCTGCCACAATGTTAACTTGCAATGGTGTGGTGCTAGTGGCTACGTTAGAATTATATTATTTGCCCGTGGCCAGGTTAGTGGATGCTAGGGTTGTGACGTATGGTGAGATGTTATGGTTTGCATTGTATGTGATTTAGATCACACATTATATAGCTTTACAGTCTCTCACTTCAATAGCTAGCTTTTGGGTTAGGCATTATAGGAAATTAGAAATGAAGTGAAGCCATATTAAAACCAACTCTAATACAAAATTAAATCATAATAATTCCATTAGAGTTGGCTCAAGTGGTAAGATGTGGTATGAATCATGATGAAAACACAGGTCTTAATGCCTTCACCACAATTTAGGTACAAACAATTTTAGTGGCTTATGCCCATCACACTTAAAGGTCCAACTTTACCTAGTTTCTGTAAATGAGGCAGTTTGTTGATACTTGTGGTATTAGAAGGTCAAAGTGCTAGATACCTGCTTTACCTAAAAAACCTAAATCATGATGCAAACAAAAATTAATAAAATGGTCAAATCAAAATATGATCGGCAAAAAACAACTAGCATCCTCTAGACACATATCTACGTAACTGTACTATATATATATTTTTTTTGTTTTTTGTTTTTTTTGCAATGATTCTACTTTATTTGTGACTGATGAAAGGTGTCCTTAGTAAAGCAACCATGGCAACAATGATAAGGTGAATATTTAATAAGGCATTAAGGATACATCCCACACAATTATTATAATGAGAAGACCAAGATTCTCAAGAATGTGAGGTATGTGCCCAAGTGTTTAAATGACATATTTTCTTTGGGTGAACTTCTTATATGTATGGGTTTATTGTGAAGGGTGGTTGGTGTATAGTCTATGAAAAATGATTGGTATACCTTCTAGTTCAACACACATATCAATACTCACTAGTTCAGCCATTAAAATCCGCACTTGAAAGTTTTCTTGTCTTAAATTCAAATTTAAATATAATAATTTTTTAATGAATGTGTTGTAAAATATGTTGAATTAAAGAATATACCAATAATTATCCATAGTCTATTAAGGGGTACACTAGTTGTCCGGAAATGAAAAAAAAGCACAACATTTATGTGGTTGAACAATGTGCCAATGAAGCACCTAATAACACCTTAGTAAAGATGGTGTAGAAGCATAAATAAAGATATTCTATAGGGTGAGAAAGAAATTAATGGGTTCAAGGAGGTGAGCTTCAATGGTGGGTTGGGATTCAAAAAGGATTTGAGGTGTAGGGATCCCTCCTCAAATCTCAGTCAAACAGAGATTGTTAAGAATGAGGCCTTGAATTGCACGAAGTGTTTAAAACTGCATGAGAGGTGCCAACAACTTCATGCTAAAAAAGCAACAGAAAGAAGCAGGTTTTTAACACCTTATTGAGGAAGAGAAGTCTAAAGCATATTCAAAGAAAGTTGGTGTCAACACCAAGTCATGCAGAGCAATTTAAGGAAACTTCTAATTCAAAATCACTTCATAAATATCTCTTAAAAGTAAAAGGATGTTTCAACTGTTAAGATCTTATAATTGAAAGTTAAAGGTCTCAAGTTCTAATATAGAAATTTGAAAAGAGATTTGGGAAAAGGGAGAAGGAAGGGGAAGGACTTCTATAATTCTATTCCCTACTGTGTAACCCTTGATTAGAATTTAAAAAAAATATGACCTTCATTATAATTAAAAAAAAAAAAAAACTATAATCTTTCTCATCTCTCTTGCTAAGGTAATTTATGAAAGGAATTTAACATTGGTTCTTTAGCATGAAATCCCTCTCTAAAGTCTAATATCTAACTATAACCAAATATTTTTCTGTCTTCAAACACCTTGCTAAGGCTTGCCTCCCCCACCAGAAAGGGGAAAAATCCCAAAGTTTTCCTTTTAGAGCTGGCTACCAGGGAAGCTACTGCACCTAGAAACTACTAATAAATTGAACTATTGTCAGACTGTGTGATCAAACTAAGGCGCCCCTTAAAAGCCTTTCAAAAACTTCTTAAGGTAAGTGGGTTCTTTGCCCTTTGTTGCCGCTCCATCGGCCGTTCCCTCTATTTTCTCCAGTGATTATCTTCCTCTTGTTCTTCTCTACTTTCCTTGCTCTAAATCTGCCCCTCTTCTGTCCACTACTCTGATTTCCAAACTTTAGTTCCTTTATTTCTTCTTTGATCTCCTCTATTCCTCTGTAGATCCAACCTCTTGTCTCAAACCTTTCCCTTTTCTTCTATCCTCTGCTTTCATCTTCCTGCAGCTCTAACACCATATACTCAACTTTCTAGTGTCTTGTGATGGCCAAGAAAAGAAACGGAAGAAAATTTGGGTTGATCACTAGTTGAAGGCCAAACCCAAATCTGCACCAAATAGGGGAGTAAGGACAGATTTGCTCCTCAACAAAAATAGAACAAATTGCCTCTTCAATTTGTCAATTGAGACAAATAATCTATTAGTTTAACAATTGACATCATCACTTGTCAAAAATCTGATTGCACCTAAGCTTGTCTTCAACTGAAAGCTAACACGTGATGACGTTAGCCATTAAAGGAATTGGTTATTTGTTTTTATTGACAATTTGAAAGAGTAATTTGTCCCTGCTTTTTCTTGAAGAGCAGATCAGTCCTTGCAGCCCTATTTGGGGGGTGAATTAGTTGAATGGATCCTCTTTTTTTTTTTTTGGATAAAATGTAAAATCTTTATTTATCCAGTAACTGTAATATACATGAGCAACAATTTACTGCTACAACCAATCAAATAATACTCAGCACAACTCTGCTATACTCAAATCTTTACAACAGCCTCAATCCCCCTTGAATGGATCCTTAAGTCACAACATTGCGGAGATTGTACTAACTTATCTCAAGTAAATTGATAGGTGTCCAGTTGAGCTAGAATGTTCAACCAAAAGAGTATATGAATGGTAACAGTTCTTTTAGAGATTGTCTTGTGATACTTTCACTACCTTTCTTTGGTGTTGAAATGACGTTGAAATTAGTCTACTTTTTATTTTCTTTTTGGTAGTTCGTGCTTTAAAATGTATTATGTTTGGTTATGAGATTTCATTTAATAAGGCTCTTCTTGTTTTGTAGATCCTGTTTGACTTTCTAATGATAAATAAATTTTACTTTAATTAAAAATAAATAAAAAAAACCGAAGGGGCCCCTTGAAAAAAAAAAACCTAGTGAATGTGTTGACGCACGTGCAGGGAAGCTCATGCAATAGAGCGCCTCAGTTGCTCCAATTTCTTCCCTGGATGCCTATAACTTTCCTAACCACAAGTGCAGTTATTTGCACCTTCTTGTCTTTGCACTTTTTCTTCTCCTTAAAATCTATTTGTTTTATACTGACTTGAATGTTGAAGTGTCTGCCTTAGGTACTCTCAAGGCTTTGCAGGTTACTGCTTACTGGATTGACGGGTACGTTCTGCATCAACACATCCTATTGACCCAATCAACTCAGCTAATTGGATTGACGGGTATATTCTGCATCAACCCAATCAACTTGCATGTGGAGCAAGTTGAAAATGAGTTGATACTGAATTTTTTATTTTTTTATTTTTATTTCCTGCCAAAGTTGCAATGGAGAATGTGAAGTTAGAGAGGCTCAGCCTCAGGTTAATTATACCGGTGCCAATACGGTAAAGTTGGACTACAATGTCCACCTACCTACATGCTAGCGCATTAAAGTTAAATTTTAGAATTTTCTTTTGAGATACTAGTGCTGTGATATTTATGTTTTCAAGTTGATTTAGTAAGTCTAATTAGATTATTGATTAAATAAAATTTTTACTATTAAATATATTAATAAATAGAGTTTTTATTATTAAAGAGTCATAAATATTAGATTAATATAAAAATTGATAAATATAATTTACATTAACAGAATACTAATGGTTAGTTTTTAAAAATGTTTTTCCTTATTTTATCTACCATTGTATTTAAAATATTGTGTTGTATTTCTATGATTGTGCAAACGAGAGTTACCATGGAGTGTGTGAAAATTGCGTCATCTATTAATTTTGAATGGAAATCTTAAATTTGAAAATTTTGAAGGGTTGTTTTGGGTCATGGTAATTGCCACACGTATAAATGTAAAGGTCACATATATTTTGGTAATGTTTAATTTGTGTGATCTTGTCAATTTATAATTAGTTAATATGTTTAAAAATATCAGTATATGGTATAATTTTAAATTATTAAATAATAAATATTAGTTTTTTTGTCAATTATCAATTAATAACTACAATTAACAATTGTTTCTAACAATCAAACCCAACACAATTATTGTATTTATGTGGCGTATGTGTGACAATAACTATGCATGTGGTTTTGTCATATGATGGATTTGCTCCAATTTTTGAGGGATAGATTTACTCCAATTGAATAATTTCAAAGGGTAAACTGTTAACTTTAGATCTTAAGCTTCTAATTCTAAAATTTTTAGTTCCTAAACAATTTTTTGTATTTTTTGCCCTTAAATTATGAAAAATGCACTCTTTTGGCTTTTTATCAATTTAGTTGTTAAGTACTTTCATATATGCACTTTTTTAGTTTAAAAGGACTAAAAATATGATATATGAACAAATTAATAGTATGTTTGGTTTGTGAGAATTGGAGGAGAAACGAGAGGAGGTGAATTCCATTTTCCTCCCCTCTCCTTCCTGAAAAAATAATGTAAATGACTTTCCTTCTATCCCCTCAAATCAAAAATACTATCATGAACTAATGAAAAAACTAAGAAAAAGGTACATTTTTATAGTTTAGAGACAAAAATGGTGAAAAAATAATTCAGTACTAAAAAAATTTAAAATTAAGAGTTTGGAGACTAAAAATGACATTCAACCTTTCAAGAGTTAGTCTGCACCGTCAGCCTTTCTTGTACTATAAATTGTTTGGATCATAATTTATGGCATTTGGCTGCTCTAGTGTAGATGCCTTATGGTGTGTTGTTTAGGTGTATGCTATGGCTCTTACATAAAATGTTTCATTTTGATAGAATTATTATCAATTAGTAATTATTATTTATAGTTGTAAATTTTACGTTGTGTATCCCAATGGAAAGGGAAGAAAAGATAAACAGCACTGCATGAGGATTGAAGAACTCCTATTCCATCAGAATCCTATAGATTCAATAATTATTTTGTCTTAAAAGAAATGTGCTTATTATTATTATTATTATTTTGTGTGCAGCTATTTAGGATAGAGGGAGAAGAGAATCGAACATGAGACCCATGTGCCAGACCCAGGGAGGAAACAAACTTACAATTAAGCAGAGTATGCAACTCAAGAAAAAAAATTTAAGGCATATTAGGTTAAAGGCCAACTTTATTAAAAAAGTAATTAAAAAATATTGTTTGAAAATTTGATAAGTTTTATGGTGAAGTTTTATTGACATTTTATTCGGTTATTAATTTTTATGTGTTTAAGAATAAATTGCTATAGGGAAAGTTGGTAGAAAATTTGTCAAGTGAATTTTAAATAAAAAAAAGTTGAGGGAAAACTTTATCTCTTTAAAAAGTGTGAAAATAGAAGTTTGCAAACTGAAAACTTTATAAAAAAATAAATAGTAAAAGTATCACTTTTATTTCTTTTGTTGAACTATTTTTTTGATCCACAATAAATTATTTTAGTACTGAGTACAAGGTGTATTTAAACTTATATTCATCAGTTGAATGTAAAATAAAGTTTTTTTTGTTGTAATATTAATATATATAAATATGTAAATAAACTTATAAGGAAGAAATTTATAAGAGTTTAGAGGGAAACTTCCACCGACCAAACATCCCCCTAGAGAAAACCAATTATATGTAGGAGGTGAACCTGCAACAAGTCTCAATCTCTAAGTCGTCTTTAACTAGTTGGCCTGAGGCATTATTAGCACCAGCAATGCAACCTAGTTTTTAGTTGTTATCTAAAAGGACCATGATTGGTGCACACTCGGATTCAACACCTGAGTGTGCACACTTCACATAAAAAAAGGGAAAATGAACCCGGTGTTCTCCATTTTTTTTTTTTAATGCGGAGTGTGCACACCCGAGTGTTGAATCCGGGTGTGCACACATTATTTTCCTATATGAAAAACTAGTAATATATCATTTTTTTATTTTTCTGCCCCTTTACAGTACGTCCTAACGTTTAAGAATTTAAGTTTGTGCATTAAAGATTTTAAATTTAATATTTGATATGAATGAGGAAAATTTTGAAAAGAAAAAAGTTATTTATTGTTAAAGAGAGCATCATTAGATATAAAAAAAGCAAGGGTTTGTATATCCTTTACTCTTAAAACACAGGATGATAATGCATTTATTGCACTTTTATAAACAAAATGTATAAGTTGGTATTAATTTTAGTATTAAGTGAATTTAATTGAATTAAAGGTTGATTTTTATTTTTTTAATATAAATTTATAATGAAAAGATGTGTTTAAGGCACAAATTAGATAAATCTAAAAACCAATAATTATATCATTATCTTCCGTAGGTCCCCTATCTGCAAAAGGATGGACAATGAGCTGCGGATGGTGTTGAGCTACCATATATTATCGAAAGAAATCATTGGGAAAACAGCACAGAGCACAGAATGAAGAGAATTATGGCTCCTAGTTTCGAAAGAATTAATAAAGAATGGTTAAAGGTCAATAGTTTACTTGGGTTTAACGACGCATATAGAATATGCATTGAATGAGTTTGAAAACTCAGCATCATCTCCAAAAGCTAAGGTGACCTATCATCTTTTCAAACTAAGATATTATAATATTTTACTTGTAGGCTTTAAGAATTCTATCCGCTTCCATGATACTACAACCAAACATGTTATTAATAATAATATGGGATGAATAAAATATATATCATTGTTAGAGAATATTCATATTATAATTGTATTGATTAGATTTACATTATAATTGATTGATATAATTAGATTAATTGATTTTGTAACATAGAATATTTTCTTGTACAATCTTATAAGTAAACACTTTGTATATTCAGTGAAATTAAGAAAGAAAAAGTTTTTTTCTTAAAAGAAAAATATATTTACAATGAGTATGTTCATATCTTAACAATCATGTTGCACCAACCAAACTTTATGTGTGCGCTGAATAAGCTGCTTTCTTAATTTGCTAGCTTTTCAGATAAGGAGGGCATTGTTCCTGAAATGGGCAGTTGGACTTGGAACCATGGTGCTTGGTCCTGGAAGCTCTAGCTAGGATTTCACTGAATTGCTTTCAAGTGTCATATGTCCAATGGCCAAAAAACTACCATATGTAAACGTTGGCTGAGAAACACGTTTGGTCTCTATGAAGTTATAATATAAACTACATTGGATATCTTAATTACTATCTGAAAGATCCACAAAAATATTCATATTTCTGTGATCTCACCATAATATAACTCTTTAATTTTGGTATTGATAGATACGGCCAGCTAATTTGTCAAGCTTATGATCATCTTCTGATATATACAATTCAGAGCTCTGATCATAGCAAAAACATCAGTTGTGCCAATATTATCTTGCCTAACAAGTAAACAAAGTAAACATTAACCTAAATCATATTTCTTTTCATCCCTAGCCATCATCTAAACCTCCATTTCAGCCTCAAATATTACCAGCATGACCATCTCACGTATTATCTAAACCATATATATCAAAATCTCAAAACCTACCAATATTGAACAATGACATGATATACCTGATGTTAATCTAACTAATAATGTTAGTTTTTTGTAATTTGAACTAAGAATGTTGAATATAGGAATATTGAGTTACAAGCTAGCATCTGTTTTGTTAATTTGCGTCTAAACTTATTTTACCTAGAGTTGGAAGATCTCAAACTCAAGCTCAATAAAATGCTTAGACCTGGTTCAAAAATTATTCCTAGCAAATAAATAGCTTTTCTTAATAAAACTACTATCTCCAGACACCTTGAAACAAAAGCTCAGATATATGTGGACCATCGTATTGGCTCTCATTAGTAATTGTGGGCCTTTTTCAGCCAATTTGTGTGGACTTCGATCCCAAACTGTTTTGTTTTCTTTGATATTGAGTGTGTCAGTATGAATTTTTCACTGAATTAAATGTAAAACAACAGTTCTCACAAGTTCAGATGTATGCTTGGCTGTATTTGGTGTCTATCAAGTTTTCTAAAATTAAGAAGTCTCCGTTTGTTGGTTTAAGTGAAGATAATTTGAACCAGACCTTTAGGCCCAATGATTCGACCCTAAACCTTAAAGTGCTTGGGTAAGATGATCGGGTTTCAAGCTCCACCATCGTCTTGAAAAACTCCCTTCCCCCATCCCCAAATTGTACACTGTTTAAAAAAGTGAAGATAATTTGTCACCTAGATTTTTTAACTTTGTCATACCTATGGAATAGGAAGGTTGTTATCTGATCTTTCTTCAACACTACATTTGAAGGTAAAACTCTCTTAAGAGCTCAAATTACCAAATCTCGTAGTCTAAATTGACTCTGCTAGTTTAGTCACTAACTTAATTAGTATATATTTTGGCAAACAAATCAAAGCTAGAACTCCTCAAATTCTAAGTTAAAAGATCACAAACCTCACTTCAATAGCCTAAATATATACTAGCATAATCAGAACTCAGAATATTCAGTCATTCATTCATTCCAATTACTCTGATCGACGACATGACAAATATATATGAAGGACTTTGCACTTACCAAATCGGTTCAATAGACTCCAAACAAAAATCTTGTAAGCTTAGAAATCTAATTATTAACTCCTAATTAGCGAACTAGCAAGACATGCTAAAATTATAAGATTTTACACTAAATCCAAAACCAAATTCAGTCCATGAACAAACATTTACTGTTCGCGGTCCCAAACGGTGTAATTAACTTATCCAAAACAAAACCTTGCGTTGTTTTTCTAGCATAAAATCATAAAATCTGAATTCCGAAACTCACATTTGAAATTCCTTATCACCATTCAACTCTAAAGTCGAGTAGAAATGAGCACAAATCGAAAGACAAAATCAGAGGAAATATACAAATAAATCTCGTAATATAATAAAACGACGAAGCAAATTATAATAAAATAAAATAATTAAACAGCAAGAAATTCATGATGAGATCTTAAAAGGACCTGGAACTCGCGAAGTCGTAGAGTTTTCCGGTACTGGAGAAGACCATAACTCCAACCTCCGCGTCGCACAAGATCGCCAGTTCCTTCGCCTTCTTCAACAGTCCACTCCGGCGCTTCGAAAACGTCACTTGCCTGCTGGTGGAGTTATCGATCCTCCTAATAACTATCTTTCCCCTCCCCATCGCTAGCACCGAACAGTCTGAATCTACTTCCGAGGAAGATTTTCCGAAGAAAATGAGAGAAAATCAGAATTCGAGATTGAATATCGAACGCGAGAGAAAAGGAGGAATAAAATCGATGCGACGACCATATCTAAGAGAGGAAAAACGAAAAAGGAAAAGAAGAAAAAAGAGTTTTCCGGGAAAAGAAAGGAGACTTACTTGGAGAGGAAGTGAGAAAGGAGACAAACGGAGAGATTTCTGAGACGTTAGTTTTGGGAGAGACAATGTTGAGCAGAGGGAGCTGCTATATAAGGAAAGTGGATGCTGGGAAGGTCCTTTCGGCGTAGAAAACCGCTAGTGGAATTTTGCGGGGAGAGGGGACACGTGGACCATTCAGGACGCGTGATGATTTGTTTATTTTCGTCGGTTCTGGGGAAAAGGCTCTCCGAACGTATAGATCACTGACGCGTGTCTCGTCGAATTCCCTATTTTGGAAATTTCAATCCTTCTTCTTCCTCATTACGGAATTTCAAATTTTTAAAGGTTTTTCCCATA